ACTGGCATCTCATATGGAAAGAGACACAGGGAGCAGACAGCCTTGGGAAGACAGAGGCAGAGCTGGGGTCTCTCTAGTGGCTCCCAATAACCCGAGGCAAGGAGCACCAAAGGCTGCTGGAGCCACCAGAAACCAGGGAGGGCGAGGAGGGGTGCTTCCCTGCCTTGGGAGGGCAGAGGGCAGGTGGCCCGGCTGAAACCTTGATTTTCCACTTCCAGCCTGCGCCTGTGCTTGTGGTTTTGGGTCCACCAAGACCCTAACAGATCCTGCTGTTGGTTTGGAATGGAAGAGCTGAATTCCCTTGGCATGGATTCCGGAGTAGCAGAGGGACAAAAGCACTCTCAGTTGGGTGCACACCTGTGACCCCAGTACTCAGGGAGGTTGAGGCAGGATTGCAAGTTTGAGCCCAGCCTGGGCAACTTAGCAAGACCCTGTCTCAAAATAAAAAAAATAAAAAGGGCTGGGGATGTAATTTGGTGGGAAGGCCCTGGGTTCAACCCCCAGCGTAGAAAAACAAAACAAAACAAAACAAAACCAAGCATTACAACAAACCAACCCAAACAAAGCCAACACACGCATATCACTCATGGCATAAACACGCATGCTCACACCACAACAACCTACACTACAGCACGGACACATACTTCATATCGTACCTTACATGTCACACCTCACCACGGATACTCCCCACAGACACAGACACAGACAGACGCCTCACACCCCGCACACCCCTCAAATTACACCACAAATACAGACATGCCGCACATAAATGCACGTTTCACATCACACACACTACGCACACATATTGCATCATCCCACCAGCGACACCCATCTCGGGCTATACGCACATACTTCATTCATAGCATACACAGTGTCTTATACCCTAAACACACACACACCTCACTTCACCCTGCGCACACTGTCTATTTTGCCTTCACCTGAACATGTCGCATCACTGCACACACAGATTGATCCCACACCTTCCCTTACCCCCCGACGCATGACTCTCCCGCCAAGTAAAACACCTCATCTGTCACTCCCCCTTCTCTCATCACCCCCAGATCTGAAGTACGTGCATGCCCTTTCCGGCCCCCAAACACACCCCTGCCCTCCTGTGCTGGGGGCCACAGCTCACACCATCACACAGCCCTCCGGGCAGGCTGGTCACTGGGTGGCACGTCCCCCTCGTGCTGGTGCAGAGAAGGCCTCCCTGACATCCAGTGGAAGGAGGGAAAACCCCGGTTCTGGAGACTGATGCAGCCAGCGAGTGTGGCGGGCAGGGTGTGGAGGGAGGCCAGGCCTGACCAGGGGAGGCCCGAACGGAGGTTTCGCAAACGGTAGCGCGTGGACTACCTGCATGGGAGGGAGCCTGGGTGTGTGTCACAATGTCAGCTTGCTGAAGCAACTTGCCTGGGCTCGCTGAAGCAATTTATGGATGACTTGGTGACTACATTTCAGACATGGCTCCCCGGAGGCCTGCCCTTCCCCTCCCCTCCGCTCCCCTCCCGTCTCCTGCCTTCCTCTCCCCTTCCCCTTCCCTTTCTTTTTTCTTACTGAGGATTGAATCCACAACCTTTGCACTGAGCTAGGTCCCCAGTCTTTTTATCTCATTTTAAAATTTTGAGACAGAGTATTACTAAGTTTCTAAATTGCCCAGGCTGGGCTTGAATTCGTGATCCCACCTTAGCCTCCCTGAATGCTGGGATTACAAGTGTGTAATCAATCAGCCTCCCTGAATGCTGGGATTACAAGTGTGTAACAAGGGTTAAGCATACTACTAGCCTAAACTGTGCAGCACCTTGACCAGCACATGGAAAATTGAGACTCTTTTAGAAGGCAGTAGTGAGCCACCAAAGGTTTCAGGTGGTGGATGAGCAGAGTGAGGCCTTTTATTTTGAGTCAGGGTCTTGCTAAATTGCCTCAAACTTGAGATCCTCCTGCCTCAGTCTCCTGAGTGCTGGTATTACAAGAGTGCACCACCATGCCTGGCAGAACACGGCTTTTGGAGATGAATTTTACAGCATGGTTTAGTTGAGACGGGAGACTTTGAGGAACATTGAGGCAGGGAGTAAGAAGGAGAATCTGACCTGGGTCAGGACAGAGGCTAGATGGAAGGCTAATGTGTGAACCCCACTGAGAGCACCCCAGTACATCCACCAGCAGGACTCTGTAGTCAGTATGACAGAGCTGGTGATGAAGGATTTGGGGAAGACCTGGATTTCAGAGGCATCTACAGAAGACCTGCATAGGCCCCATATCCCGAGGATGAAGGGTCTCGAAGTTTCTGGGGGAGGTATGCCCAGGTAGTCACTCTGTTCCCTTCTGTGCCTCCCTCCCCTCCTACTCAGGCTGCACTTGGCCCCCTGAGCTGGGCTGGTAGAAGCTTGCTGGCTCCTGCCTTGGTTATCATTGCACCAGAGCCCTGGCACAGCTAGGCCCAGGCCCAGGGCACTTGCAAGTTGCCAACTCTATGCTGTATTTAAAATCTCTGTGTGAAGGGGCTGGGGATTTAGCTCAGCGGCACAGTGCCTGCCTGGCAAGTGTGATGTCGTGAGTTCGATTCCCGGTACCGGAAAAAAACCAAAACCAAAAACCAAAACCAAAATTAAATCTCTGTGTGAACTGGGTGTGGTGGTGCATCCCTGAAAGTCCAGCTATCTGGAAGACCAAGACTGAGTTTGAGGCCAGCCTGAGCAAGACCTTGTCCAAACCAAACTGAACCAAACCAAACCAAACCCCTCCTTGTGAATGGCAGATTAATAGGCAAGAGTCTTGTAGCCAGGGTGTGTGGGACCCCCAGACTATTGGTATTTGAAGGGGCCCCAATGTCCTCCAGCCTCCTTGCTCAGCAGGACACGGAGACTCACTGCTGTGCAGACCCAGCTGCTCTGTGTGGAGATTGGCAGAAAGGAAATGAGGATCCTTAGCACTGGGCAGCGGGGCAGGAAAGGAGCCTAGGGCTGTAAACGTTGTTGTAGCGAGAGCTGGAACTCTCTGTCTGCAGGCGAGGGCTGGGCCCGGGCCCACCACATGTCCTCTGTGAGGTTCCTGTCACACACTGTTGCACAGCCGGCCACAACCAGTGGGGGATCCCCCTGAATTAGGGGCAGAGCTGTGGGGCAGATCTGAACCTGTTTGGGCCCCGGTCATGCCCTTGATCTGGTGTGGCTGGGCTCTGGCCTCACCCAGGATCAGCTGCCAGCTGTCAGGACACTGGCGGTGCCAGGCGGAGCGTCAGGAGGGCCGTCCCTAGGGAGTGGGCGAGCCCTTGTCCTGGCGCAGGCTGCTTCGGGCCCTCGATTTGACCACGCATTCTCTTCTTTCTCATAAGAGCTTTGCCTCACTTTTCTTTACAAACTGGTGACAAAATTCAGAGCTCTCACCCCTGCAGTCTGTGGAGTTTACAGACACATCCATGTCCACCCTCTCTGCCCTCCCAGATAGGCAGAGGGACAGGACACATGGGTGTGACTGTGAGGGCAGACTGGATGTGGCTGGGGGTGGGCGGCCTCTGGCACCAGGACATCCTGCTCACTTCCGGCAGCCTGGTCCAAGGCCCCAGGGGTTGCTTGGCAGCTTGGGCCTCCTGAGGCTAAGCCCCGCCCTGTTCACCCAGGGTCCAGCTGGTCCCAGGCTCAGGAGTGTCAGGGTGCAGCAGTTTCAGGGACAGATTCCAGGCCCTGGCCCATGCTCGGCCCGCTCTCCCGTCTCATTCTTCTCCCAGACAGTCTACTGGGGCCCGGTGCAGCCGGACCCTTGTCTCCCTTGCAGTGACTCAAGGGACAAGTCTGTTTCCTGGTTTTCCTTCCTTCTTCCCATCAGTGTGGCTCCCTGGGTTTCAGCCCCACGTGTGACCTCGTAGGCCCTGTGCTCTGATTTGTCCCCGAGTGTGGAGAAGGACATTCTTTGATTAGAATGCATTGAGGACACAATGATTTGTTTGTTAGAGTTTCTTAAGATAAGGCTTTATTACACAGCCTGGATTAACCTTGAGTTTATGATCCTCCTGTCTCAGCCTCCTGAGTGCTGGGATTATAGGCATGTCTTGGAGCTCATGTGGGGAAGGGTAATTCCTTTAATTATCCTCACTAAAAAAAAAAAAAAGTTTGGTATCTGCCCATTTGTACTAGCTAAGCCCTTGGTTCTCGCTAAATAAAGGTGACAGAAACTGGTGTTGGAGGAGGGCAGTCTGAGAGGCTGTAACCCCCCTGATGTCAGAATACTGTCTTTCTTGTTTTGCTTGTCTCCCTTTTTCTTTTACTTTTCTTAGTCATCCATGGGCACCTCGTTCTCAGTCCTGGTTCACCCTGGAGAGATAGGGATGAGCAGTCCCACACCTGAGGTTCACAAATACCCGTCTTGCCCACGAAATAATGTCTGCTTTTCTCTTTTTTCAGAGACACTAGGGTTCCGTGGACCCAACAGTGTGAGAGAGGAGTGGACCCCTTGCCCCATCTTTGGAACCCCCACGGGGGACCCACAGCCAGAAGCGGAAAACAAAGGAGTATCTTGGTAGATGGTTTAGGTCAGCCACCTGGCCAAGAAGAATCTAGAGGGACAAAGAAATGACCAGACTGGAAGCACAGTCCGAACAGCACTGTCACATGTGTCTTAGGGATCTGGCAGGCCAAAGATTAAAGTCTGGATTTTAGCCTGACCTCTACCTGGGGACGGGAAACAGCCGCTCTAATTTGGATGATTAGGATGCGCTCCCATGCACCTCCTACCCATGGGGCACCCCTTCCCTGCTCACTGTGCCTGCAGCTTCCTCCAGGTTCCCTTGAATCCTGGCAATCTTTGAGCTTGGAGTGGAATGCACCCCGCACCACCTCCACACCGCCCAAGGGTGCTGCTCCACCTCCTGGTTGCTGGTACCTGCCTGCACCTCAGCAAACAGTCTTTTCATGTAGCCTCCTTGAATGACCCCATCGGAGAGCCCACTATTTCTGCTGGCATCCTGATAGAGACACACGGGACCCCCAAAGCCGGCGAGCGCTTACTGTGAATCCGATGCCCACCGTGGCCGAGAAGGAGCCCGGAATGAACTTGCCCTGGTCGAATTGAACCAGCAGAGATGTCTTCCCCACGCCGCTGTCACCCACCAGGATGGTCTGGAAGGGAGCACAGGAAGGGGGGCAAAAACTGTGGTTGGACTGGTCCTTGAGATGCAGCTGTGGCTGCAGGATACAGTTCTTTCTAAACGCACACAGACTCGAAGGCCACCTAGACACGCACATACACACAGGTACTCAGACGTCGATACCACAGATACCCTCAGCTCTCGACTTGCTTTTGAAGTCACTGAAAAGGCACAAGGGTATAGAGGGAACCTCCTTCCAAGCCGAGTTAGGGAACATCTGAAGCAACTCTGACAGTGGGCCTCTCGGACTTCTAACCACAGGGCCATTGCTGACCCACAGTTCCTGCTGCTGTGTGCTACAGTCCGCCATTGCCTTGTCTGCACTGGGGCTTCCCGTGGGCAATCCCCAGGTAGAGGCAGAGTGTGGCAGGGACACTGAGGCAGGTGTGTCCTGGGAGATACAGCTCCTCTCATATCTGGCTTCAGCTAGAGGATCCTCTCTGGTGGTATCTGATTGTACTATGGTCTGGCTCCCCTGGCCTCCCAGCTCTTACCCCATTTTTTTTTTTTTTTGTCTTTTTGAGACAGGGTCTTGCTGTGGAGTTCAGGCTAGCCTTGAGCTCACTTTGTAGCCCAGGCTGGTCTCGAACTTGCAACTATCCTTCTGCCTCAGCCTCCTGAGTGCTGGGATTACAGGCATGCGCCACCACACCCGGCTTTCTTACCCTATTTCTTTTTCTTTTTTTTTTTTTTTTTTGCTTCTGGTACCAAGAATTGAACTCACAACCTTGCACTTGTCAGGCAGGCGCTTTGCCACTGAGCTAAATCTCCAGCCCCCCTTACCCCATTTCTTTGATAGGTAATTTCTTTTTTCTTGTCTTTTTGAGAGAGGGTCTCACTATGCAGTTCAGGCTGGCTTTGAACTCACTTTGTAGCCCAGGCTGGCCTTGGACTCCCGAGGATCCTCTTGCTTCAGTCTCCCAAGTGCTGGGATTACAGGCGGGTGCCATCACGCCTGGCTTCTTTCATAGGTAATTTATTTAATAAAATCCTTGTGCACTCCCTTCCCTTTTGGCGTCGTCTCCTTGGAAGGCCAGAATGAATGTGATATCCATGGATCTCCCATATATGCTGACCAAAAACGCCATCCATGGGACGAAACAAGTAAGTTTAGGGGAAGAAGAGAAAGACTACTCTGGGAGGTCTACATTGGGAGAGGCAAGGGGTGGGAATTAGCCTAGAAACGCAGATGAAATATTTAAAAGGAAGTCATAAGCAACAGAGAGGAAAGACCTATGAATTCAGAGGCTGGACCTATCAGCCCTCTGGGAAGGGATGAGTAGGTAAATGCCTTCGTTTCCAGGTGGCAGTAGCCACTTCCCGAAGGCAAACATTGGGGGGTCACTGGAAAGGCTGAGGAGCTGCAAACTTTAATTGGATCCACCGAGACATAAAAGCATAGACTGTCAGGGCCTCTTTGGGCCAGGCCCACAGGCCCCAGCCACTGTTGGGCTCTGAGCGTGGCATTGTAAGAAACTGGTATTAGAACGGGTTGAACGTAAGCTTGTCCGTGATGTTGCCCTGGCCGTTCTCTGACTGTAGTTCCCCTGTCTTCTCTTACTGAACCAAATTGTTTGCTTTCATTTCCTCCTGTGTTACAGAGAACCATTGTACATTACCAGCAGTGGCTTTATTCATTTACATATCAAGTCTAACTTCAGGCTGTAAGAAGTGCTTCCTAGAGAGAATATTTCAGAAGGTGAAGAATAAATCGTGCATGTTTCCCTCATTCACTTCCTAAGGGGCACAGCAGATTTAACTCTTTCCCTTTATGCTTTTCCCTTTCAGAGTGAAGAATTCTCATCCCTTTTTGTGCTCATCGTAGGGAATAGTTCTGTCCTGGGACCTTTGCTGGCTCAGTGGGGATTGGTCTAGGGACCCAGGGGTGTAGACAAGGCTCAGCACTTTGTATCCTGCAGGCTGTAGGGGTAGGATATATTGTTTTTTTCTGGCAGGGTCCAGTGTCAGGAATCTATTGGCACTGAACCCGCTGGTTTTTTCTTTCTTTCTTTTTTTGGTCCGGGCCACCATGGAGAATTCAGAGCAGCTCAACTTATAAGCATGGCTGAATTATTTCCCTCTACTCTAAGAGCTCCTTGTCTTTTTTTTTTTTTTTTTTGGAGACAGATCTTGCTATGCAGTTCAGGCTGGCCTTGAGCTCAGTTTGTAGCCCAGGCTGGTCTCAAACTTGCAACCGTCCTCCTGCCTCAGCCTCCCGAGTGCTGGGATTACAGGCGTGCCCGCCGAGCTCCTTGTCTTTTCTCCAGATTTTTCACTGCGCTTTTTCTCTTCCAGCTCATTTAAAAACATTTAATTGGTTGATTAAAAGTTAATCATGGTCTGACCAAAGCCTCTGGGTCAACATCATCATGATTCGTGATTTGTACAGGCGTCCCTGTTCTCTCTTCTGAAGCTATTTTGCTTATGTCTGTGCTTGTGCCTCTTCCACTTTCAAAGGGGATTTGAGGTCATTCAAACAAAAGCCCCTTTTTACAAGAGGCAGCTAAAGGCAGGGTTTCACGAAGTGAGGAAGGGAGTCGGGGGTATGTGGTTTGGAGTCGGTACGCCTTCCACCCACAGTGAGGCTGCTCGTCTACTGCGCTTGAGCATTGTGTTTGAGCCTAGGCTTCCTGGCAGACAAGACGAAATGAGGAATCAGATAGTGTCTGTGGTACTTGTACCACAAAGAATGCCTGGATCCTTTCGATCAATGACTAATTTCTGCTGGCATGCGACCCTAAGAGGAGTCTGTTACACAGACGCCTGTATAAGGGGCCTCAAGTAACAAAACTGGCAATTGGCTTTTTGCTGCAGAAGCAAAGCTTTTCCTACAGCTGTTGTATCAACCATTGATCAAAGCAGGGGCCTCAGGGTACATTATCCTTCACGGAAGACTTTCTGAAGGAGCCAGGCTAGTTCTGAGTGACTTGCTTTCCTGTGACTCTGTCAATCTGGGGCAGCATTTGGAAAACCTCAAAGAACAGGTAATTCTTATGGCCCCTAAAGTGCTTCTGAGTGACATTCTCAGCCAGATAGGAAATTCAGATACCATCAAGAAAAACATCAATAGATCTACTGCATAGAAATAAAAGTCCTCTAGTGGACAGAAGATACTAGAAAGAAAATCAAATGAGAAATGACATGGAAAAAACATTTGGAAGACATATAACAAAAGGTTAATATCTCTCACAATGCAATCTGAAGAAAACCTCAATAGAAAATGAACAAAGGAATGCACATGGTGGTGCACCCCTGTAATCCCAGCACTCAGGAGGCTGAGGCAGGAGGATCGTTGTGAGTTCGAGGCCAGCCTGGGCTACAAAGTGAGTGCAAGGCCAGCCTGAACTGCATAATGAGATCCTGTTTCAAAAAGACAAGAACAAACAAACAAACAAAAAACCAAAGCACCAAAAAAAAAACCCCCAAAACAAAAAACAAAAAAAGACAGAAAATGAACAAAGGATGGGAATAGTTATATTTTCTGTGTGTGGATCCATGATTGTCAACCTGGCTGGGCGCCAGTCCTAGCTGTACAGTCCAACACTAATATAGATGCTGCTGAGAAAGTATTTTGTGGATGTGGTGAACATCTGCAGACAGCTGAGCTTCAGTCTTCAGTAATTTGGGTGGACCTCACCTGCTTAACTGAAAGACTTAACCGAGGAATGGCTAAAACAGATGTGGTATTTTTATACAATGGAGTGCTACTCAACTATAAAGAAGGATAAACTTGAGGCTTTTTATAGGTAAATGGATGCAACTTGAGACCATACTCATAAGTGAAATAAATCAGACTTGCATGTGTAAACATCGTATTGTCTCCCTAGTGTAAGAAACTGAAAAAAGTAAATAAGACCCAAAATCTAGACACTGTGAAAGAGAAAGAAACTGCGCAAAAAGAAAGAACAACTGGGATGGGTAAAAAGAAAAAAGAAGGACAGGAAAAGAAAATATATATTCACAAAAGAGTAGATATATTATGACTTCTTTCAGTTCATTGAAAAAGCAGTTTGTCCTTATATTGTTTGATCAGTTATGCATGCCTACATTTTGTAACCTGAGCAAATACTTTGAAGATAATAATACGCAATATATTAACCATTACTAATCTCCTATTATCTTATTTTGAAATGCAGTATTATTGTTTTTCTCTTTAAAATAAAAAAAAAAAACCCTTTAAGGAAAATAAAAAGAAAAATAAAGAGGGAAGTTTCCCAGAGGAAGAGAAATTCTGCTTCAAGAGTGCAGTATCTTTTCCCCTTGGAAAGTTTCTAGCCGTCTGGCTTTCCTTGTAGATTTCTTTTTTGGTCTTTTTGAGACAGAGTCTTGCTATGCATTTCAGACTGGCCTTGAGCTCACTTTGTAGCCGAGGCTGGTCTCGAACTTGCAGCAATCCTCCTGCTTCAGCCTCCTGAGTGCTAGGATTACAGGCGTGCGCCATCACACTCGGCCTTTCCTTGTAGAGTTCAGACTTGGCCAGACTGTACAGTAGTGTAAGCTGATTCCTTGGACACAAATAAATCTCTCTCTCCCTCCTCTTATTTCATCATCTGTCTGTCTGTCTGTCTATCTATCTAGCTATCTATCTATCCACCATTTTCTACAGTTTCTGTTTTCCTGGAGAACCCTTGCATATAGAGACAGGAAATTTGTGGGTTTGGAGGCTGGCTGGAAGTCCAAGCTCTACCACAGAAAGCCCCCCTTCTTGCTATGTCCTGTGATGGAAGGGGCCAGGCAGCACTTCTACAAGGACACTCATCTCATTCTCGAGGGCTCCGCCTCTTAATGCCATCAGATTGGACAGTAGTTTTCAGCATATGAACCTTAAGGGAACACAAAGTAATACAGGGTAGTTTTGATAAGAGTTTGATGATGGTCAGTATTGGCATAGGTTTGGAGAGCAGGGACCCATGCGGAGCCCGTTAGGGGGAATGTGCAACTTTTCTGGAGAGCAATTGACAACATCTATCA